CCCCAATCCATCAGCCACGCTGAAAAACAAGCATATTTTAACATCTCACTGCCCACTGGCAGCACAGAACCCAATCCCAGGAGGATGACACCTGGGGAGAGCAGAAGAACTACACAAAGTCACATTTCTGGGTTATAAAAGCCCTTTTTATAAAGCCATTTTTAAACAAAACCAAAAAGTTTACAAAAGAAAATAAAAGATACAGAAGAATGAGTTGCTTAATATATTCCAAAAAAAGGAGGAAAAAATAAAAGAGGGGACACAATTCCAACATGCTGAACAATTAAAGGGTTCTTTTTTTTCCTCGTGGGGGTTTTCTTTTAATACAAAATACAAGCGAAGGATACACATACTTAAAACAGAGCTCAGGAGCAGCTTAGGCAGTCCTGGGAACCCTTTTCAAGAAAAGCAAAGCAGGGTTTTGTTATTTTGTTTATTATTTTTTTTTTCTCTTTCTTTGCAGGTACATAGAGACTGGAATATGTCAAATTAAGGTAGCACAAAAGACCATCACACAATTCTACCAATGAATGTTGCAGCTATAAAGTCACGAACATGGTCAACAGTCATGTTCACTTCAACCCCTTTAGAAAACAAAGCTGTGGTTGGGGTGGTTTGTTTTTGTTGGTTTTTTTTTTTTTTGTGGGTTTTTTTAGGTTAAATAAAGCAGTAATGTTACATTCAGACTTCACTCCTAGTACCATGCTGTAAAGATCTTGGCCTTGTCAAGGTATTGCAAGTGCTGCCAACCCCACTGGGCCCAGGGATCAGTGTTTGCAGCTGCCCCTTTGCTGTCTGCTCCAGAGGATCCAAAAGGGATGGAAAAAGGATGGGAAGGGGAACTGCAAAGAGCCTGATTTCTTTTTCTTTTTTTTTTTTTTTTTCTTTTTTTAAGGAAAGCTCCCCAGGGGATTGCAAATACTCAAGACAAACAGCCATTGCATACCATATCACCATGCCTTGAAGGCCCCACAAGGCCTTACCTGGAGTTTCCTCCTCTACCTTCTTTCAGGGTTTGCTGTGACATGATGTTCATGGTTAAACCAAAAAAAAAAAAAAAAAAAATTTCCAAATGACCACAGACTGCCCTTTTTTCTCGTCTTGTAGCTCTTATTTACAATTTGTAACAATTGCTTCTGCAGGAGAAGGAGGGAAAGGGGAAGAAAAGGAAGGAAAGAAAAGAAATTAAAAGTCACAAATCTTCCCAGAACACAAAGGGAATCCGATGTCAGACGCTCCCGTGCGCTCACTCACACCCAGACACACACACACCACCTGCCTCAGGGGCTTTTACACACACTAGTCTGGCTTAAGCTGATTGAGGATTTCTCCATCCCACCCACTCTCCCCCCAAAATATATATATTAAAAAAAAAAAAAAACCCCCTTGCCCCAATATACAAAGCATATGCACAATGGTGGTTTGCAGTCACACCGAGCATGCTCGACCGATGGAGCCCCAGAAGGGTTGGAGGGGCAGAGTTGGGGCCAGGAGTGGTTGAAACACAGAGTTAGCACATGGCAGGGCTTGGAACAGTTGTGGTTTTGGGGGAAATAGGGGGGGAAAAAAAAAGAAAAGAGTTCTGTGAAAGACATTCAAATGCCAAGTCAGCTAGGGAAGTCTACAGCAAAGGGTTTGGGGAGGAGTTGGGACATTGTCAACGTTCAGATGGTGCTCAGAGATAGCTGACCCAACAGGGACAGTGTTAGTTTCCTAACCTCATTAGAACTTGTGTGGAAACTTCCCCAAACCTGCAGGAAAACACTCCAAGGTCACACATGGAATACACCATCTCCACCCTCAACCCAACACCTCCTGTGGCCACTTTGTGACAGTGTCCCCTTGAAACTTCTGCTCTGTTGCCATTTCCTTTGCCTCCCCCAACAGATGAAGGTCCCAGGTCTCAATCAGCTATCAAACCCATGGATCAAGTTGTGGTTTTGGAGAACTCTGTGATCAACAATATGATCTGGTATAAAAAGAAAACACTTCACCGACATATCACATAAAGCAAAGCACCAGTTTCTACAGCTCAAAAAGCTTCCAGCATGTTACAGTTTGCTTCCCTCCCTCCTTCACCTGGGGGACTCTAGTGTACCTTTGTGACCATCACAAGTGGAGGGGAAAAAATTTTTAAAAATGGGGAAAAAAAACAGGAATTCAGCACATCTTCTGCCACTGGTGGTGCAGCACAGGAGCTGAACAGGCTGAGGGCTGTGAGCTGGCACTGCTGCCACCCAAGGTGTGCTGCTCCTCTCTCTGCTCTGATGATATTCCAGCAGAATGCAGAGCCTCTCACTGCCCTGTCTGGAGGTGATGCTCTCACCCACACCACACTCCAAGCCCTGGTTAGCTCATCCTGCTTGGCATTTCCCTCCTGCTCAAAGTGAAGCAAATCATCTTCAGGGTGAAATTCCAACTGAAAACACTTTTAAAACTGATTTTGTGGCCAGTTCTCTATTGGCATCAAGTGCCAACGTGAACACAGTGGTGTGGATTGAGGAACAGGATGACCAGAGGGACTGAAGATGAATGTCAGAACTACCAGAGTAAAAAAAACAGGGCAGGGCACTAAGCTAACTGACCCTTGGGATAAATCCATTTCCCCTCTCTGCAACAGCTCCACAAACCATTTCAAAGCCTCCTCTCCAAACTTTCTGCTCCATGGAGAACTATTCCTGCTCCTAAAGAAAGGCATTCTCACAGCTTTCCTTTGAGACATCACAATGATTAGTACAGCTGAGCCCAAAAAGGAATTAAAAAGGTGAATTCTGACACTGCTGAGTACTTATGTGCTTAAAAAAATAATAGGAACCTTCACAATTTTCTCCTACCTGGAAAAAAAAAAGTAAACTGCTGAATTCTAGGAGTAGCCACGAGACCATTAGGGCTTAGTGTCTGCACAAGTAGCAAAACAGTAAAGAGTTAGAAAAGATTACAAAAATCCCCTAAAGTCCAGGATTTCCATAGTGTTTGGGTTGTGACCAGCTCAGGAATAAGCCTCATGCAGCCTGGGACAGCCAGGAGAAACCACGACAGTTTGAGGAGATAAAGGGCCAAACTTGCCACATAAAATCATCCAGGCCAAAACATGAACTGACAACAGACACAAAGTTTTCACAGCCTTAACTGTTAGGAAAAAGACCCCAAAAATACATGAAGTGGAAGCTATAAAATCCACTCTGCAGGAAACATCTGGTCCAGAAGGTGAAAACAGCTGTTTGACCAGATTTGGAGTAATCCTTGGACATCTCAAACCCCAAAAGTCCTAAGAACCCAATGGACAAGAGTAGCCTGAAACAATCTGGGCTGAAAAAGAGAACTCTGTGGATCTGCACAAGGGTTTTCTACCCCCAAAACTTCCTCCAAATGGTTTTAAATACAGCTATTATTTCCCATGTCACCCACAGAGCACAGGGCTAGGAGCAGAGGGAACTCAAGAGTCTCTGCTCTCCTGGAGATGTGGCAGGGGGGAAGAGGAGTGGGAGAGGAGAGAGGATTACAGTCACTTCTCTTTCCTGGTTGATACTTCAGCCTTAAGCTGCTCTGCAAAAATTAAAACCACTTGGAGAACCAGAAGCTTTACAATGGAAACACTGATCATCTTTATTGTAACGGCAACAGTAGTTCCATGAGAGTCAAGAATGTTAGAGAACTTCAGGTTGGGTTTTTTTTTTTAAAAGCCAAGGTAAAAGGAATTTACCAGCCTCAATAAAATCCAGGGCTATGAACCACACCAGACAATCACTTGGCTGTTGTCTGAATATTCCAGTCCCCATTTGAGGCTCCACACTGTGGTCAGCATCTTCAGGCTCCCTAAGGATTCAGCCAAGTGTCCTTCCTGATCATATTAGTGTATCACATCTAAAAAGCTCTCTAAAATCCCAACAGGATTAAAAAAATCTGGTGGCATGTGCACCAGGAATCCAACTAATTAGCTGCCTTATGTTACCTTCGAGAGGCTGGTTACAAAATGGGGAATGAGAAGGAAGAGGAGGCAAAGCTTTCTCAGCTAGAAGATAACTGTGAGCAACGTCAGAAGCACAAAGAGTTTCAAGGAAGGAGTGGGGGGGAAAAAAAAATAAACCAAGGGAGAAAAATGGCAGGTCCAGTTTTCAGTATTTCCACTCACAAACGTGGCAGCAAAAAAAAGTGTGTCAGGGTGTGAAAACCAAAGCTTGGGGACTTTAGTGGGAAATAACCAAAGGGCTATGGCTGCTTGGATTAAAAGACATTAAAATGTCACCACACACCTCTGGTGCCTTGGACTCAGAGGGACATCCTGCCTGACCCAGGACACACTGCTCACACCTCCTCCAGGCTCAGGGAGCAGGATGGGCCCAGCACTGGGGCTGGGGTGGAAGGATGAGGCCCTGGACGTGGTGCTGCTGTGCCCAGAGGGACTCCTGGAGCCTTTCTGAGGACAGAGGGAGGGAGAGAAAACACTCCAGTATCACTCACAGGACAGAGACTGACCAGAGCACTGCAGGAATCCTTTGCTTCACAAGGATAAAGGACATCTCATGCCCCCAAAGCTAAAAAGTTGAGTTTTACACTAGCCATTCATTTCATTTTTTTTACTTGGGAAGAAAAAATACCACTTTAAAAGACGTTTTCCACAATTCCAAATGGAAACCAGTTTTAAAAACACTTTCTCTTCCCTATTCTGCCCATCTACAGCCAATCCTGGAGGAGTAACACAGAGGTCATGGACGTGGGGAGGTTGTGTGGGAGTTTGCACACGACAGCTGCAATTTGCCTACAGCAGAACAGAATTCCATCCAGCAAAGACACCAATCTCCCCCTCTCACTGGAGGGTCCTTCCTGAACCAAAGACAGAACCATCTCTGAGTCTCTTGATTGCCTTCCATGAAAAAAACCTGCCTGAATCCAAGAAACACTAAGTTTCCTCAATTAATATCAACTACATTTTTTTTTTTTCTTTCTCTGAGAGGGAACTTGTCTCAACAAAAGTCTGTTAAAGCATAAGGTTCATTTTCTCCATATATTCAGATACAGAATAATAGCTTTAAACAACTCTTCACCAGCACTAGGAGATCTATTCTACGTAAGGATTTGCACTATGGTTTCCACAGATCAGTCTCAAACCTTTTATTGCTTCACACCTGCAGTATATCCCTTGGAATAAAACAAAAAGAGATTGGATGGTCTGTTAATTAGTCTCCAATGGCTTTTGGATTTGGCAGGGGAGGGAGAACGGAATGGCCAACAGAGAACATTGACTTCAAAATGTTACTGGAGAAGAGTTTCCTCTTATTAAAAAAGGAGACACTGTATTAACCAGCTGAAAGGAAAGACAGCATTCAAAGCCCATGAGTCAAGCCACAGCCAAAACCGTGTTCTACCCCTAAGTATGTTTTTCTTTTCCTTTTTGCTTTTTTTTTCCTTTTTTTTTTTTCTTTTTTAAAACAAAGATTTCCTCAACTGCCATTTAATCTTCACCAGAGGGAGCTTCATCTTCAGATCCCTCATCCCCTGACTTCTCTGGTGGAGGGCTGGCTGATTTTTTCTTCTCTGGGGGACTTTCAGGCTCTTCATCCTCTTCTTTGGGGGATGGGGTCTTTTCTTTCGTGGCCTTGGAGGCTGTGGGGCGACCTGCCTTCCCTTTGCCTTTCACTGGGCTGGGGGTCACTGGAAGAAGGAAAAACCTTGTAAAACTCAGCAGCAGCAAAGGCAAAACACTCACATGGTGTTAGCAAACAGGATTGACAAGTCCCTTCAGTCCCAGGGGTCACTTGGCTTTGGCCATAGCACACAGACCGTGGGGTTTGTACTCCCTATTGGCACAGCTGAGCTCAAGAGTTGGCCAAGATTTTCCATGGAAAGGGCTGTCAGGTATTGGAATTGCCCAGGGAGGTGGTGGAGTCACATCCCTGGAGGTGTCCAAGGAACCACTGGATGTGGCACTCAGGGTTCTGCTCTAGCTGACAAGGTGGGGATGGTCACAGGTTGGACTCGATGCTCTCAGATGTCTTTTCCAACCTTAATGATTCTCTAATTGTAAGTCCTGACTAATTACTGAAGGTGACATAAATGAACATGTCAAACCATCTACACACATCACTCTTGTCAAACCAGTATATACATCACTACTAGATTTTTAGACCTATAGCAAAAAATACATCACTTTGGCTTTTGGTTCAGATTTCTCCAAGTTCCTCCACCCTGAAAACACCACAAGATCCCAAAGCCACAGATTGGATTGTTTGGCTGTGAGACACAAAGATTGCAGCACCTCAACAGGGAAGAACTAAAATCTATGCAGTTTTTACCAACAAGACATAGATACAAACTCAATCCCTGAGGAGCTGAAGTCACTCTATGATTTGAATTGTGACACTTGAGTCCCTCAACACGTGTGGATGCTTAGCAGCCCCAGAATTTCTTCTCCAGCACAGAAAGGAGTGTCAGTCCTGACCCAGAACAGCTCTGTGCACACACTCACCTGTAGCCTTTAGCCTGGGCTTCGGCATCTTCTTTTCTTTCCTCTCTGGTTTGGATTTCTTGGAGACCTTTTTGTTTTTCTTTTTTGAACTGCCATAGTCACTATCATCATCATCTTCCATGAGGAAGTCTTCATCACTTCCTGAATCTGCTGGAAGCATAAAGGAATTTCAGGATTTTTGGAATAAAAAGGAGGAGCAGGAGGTAAGAGCTGAGATGTGCCAGTGAAACTGAGACAGGACACTAAGGCTCTGTGACCTCGTGGCTTCCATTTATCTGCTGTGGCAGAACATCTGACTTGGCTTTTACATCACCTGAAGGTAGCACTGATGTCTCAAAACCAGAGGGACAGCAAGAAGCATGAGAACTTTAGGTTAACCCTTTAGGTTTGCTTACAAAGACAAACCCAAATCTTTGCTGCAGACTTTGAACACAAATTCTAGAGGCTAAAAACATGAGCTTGGAGCAACCTGAGTTAGTGGGAGGTGTCCCTGCCCATGGCAGGGGGTGGGGCTGGACGAGCTTTAAGGTCCTTCCAACCCAAACCATTCTGGGAGTCAATAAATTTGGTCTGTGGCACAGACCCTCAGCAGAGTAAGTCAAGGAGAAGGACAATTCTGTCTTCACTGTCACAGAGAAGCTCCTTTTGTTGTGGCCAAACCCAACCACTCACATCTGGTGCTATGCCCACATCACATTGATCACAACCTTTTACAATCCCATTTACTCACTCTCCTGGAACTGTGCTTCATCATCCTCCTGCTCTTCCTCCTCACTGCCCACATCATCCATGAGCATCTCCCGCTGTTTGGACGCTGCTTTGGACGCTGCCTGTCGCTGCTGACGGACGTTTTTGTGGTCTTCCTTCTCATCCTCACTGTCCTCTGCAGCAAAAGTCACCAAGTTATAACCAACACAGCACACAAACCTGGGCAGGGACACCTCCCACCAGAGCAGGTTGCTCAAGGCTTTATCCAACCTGGAATGAACAGTGACAGAGTTGTGGCAGCCACAGCCTCTTTTGGGGCAACCTGTGCCAGTGTCTCACCACCCTCACAGGGAAAACTTCTGCCTAATATCTAACCTAAACTTCCCTCTTTCAATTTATCTCCATCACTCTTCATTCTGTTACTGCAGTTCCTAACAGAGTCCCTCTACAGCTTCCCTGGAGCCTCTACAGCTCCTGCTCTGAGGTCTCCACACAACCTTCTCTTCTCCAGGCTGAGCAGCCCCAACTCCCTCAGCCTGTCCTCAGAGGGGAGATGCTCCAGTGCTCTTATCTTGCTCCAGGACACTCATGAGTACCTGAGCTGTGAGGACAACATGGTCCATTCATCCTATGAACAGCTTTCTGTGGTCACCCCTGCGGATTCTGTGCAATCTCCCTCCTAGCATAGCCCAGGAACCTTCCCTGTTTACCTGCAGGCCTTTTCCTGGATTTGGAGGCTGCTCTCTTGTTCTTGTCTGGTTTAGCCTTTTTGCCCTTTTTGCTTTTTTGAGAGCTCTCATAGTCACTGTCAGCTTTGCCATCATCTGCTCCTAAGTCATCATCTTCACTGCCAAAGTCTTCATCTGCAAGAGAAAGGGTTAAGATTTCTTGTATCATTCTGAAACATGGGTGAAAACTACAGGGAAGAGATTAACAAGTAGGGAAGAGATTAACAAGTCTCTGCACCTGTGAAGACAAACTTTATAGTGGCATCAGATAGACACAAAAATGTTATCCCAAACCAGGGTGGGAAGTAACAGCCCTAGACGAATCATCCAGCTCAAATGAAGGTAGGTGTCTTAAGAGAAATGCTGCTCCTCTAGTCAGAACTACTTCTTTCTTATGTCAAATCCTACTCCTGCAGCTCTCAAACTGGTTTTGAGGAGCCACAGCCTGTTTTGAAGGTAGCAGTGCAGGGTAGTTAGTTACCTGCTGAGTGTGAATCATCTTTCTTAGTCTTCACATCTTTGTCTTCTGAATCCTCACTGAAAAGGAGAGAGAGACAAGGTCTGACTGCTGTGTTAATGTCAATTTTCTGAGAGCAAACTGATCTCTAGGCTGGGAATACGCACTTTTCCTGGACCTTACCATGTTATACCTCAGGGTTACTCAGGTGTGGATGTAGCTGTCATGGTTGGAAAAATAATGTTCAAACTCTGAATCACATCTAAACTTACATGGAGTCAAGTGAACCAACCAGGACATAATCAGGTGGAGGTGAACCATACAGTTCACTCTGAAACCTATCAACAACCCACCCTGGGTAGAACTGTGATGTTTATACCCTGAGTCTACAGGGGATAAAGGTTTACTCTGCCTGGATTTATAGTCATCACTTGTCTTTGGGTCATGGTTTTCTTGGCTCTCCTTCATCCTGTGCACATCCCAACTGGCACATGCTTGGCCCAACGGTCTGACCTCTGGGGGAGAACAGGAGACACCTTGGGGTTAAAGAGCAAGAACCACTGGCAGAACCTCAACCCCTGACACTGATGTGTGCCATGAACACAGAAATGACTCGACAGCTCTGCTGGCAATCACCTGGGGAGCTGTGACAAGGTACCTGCACTCAGTGGGGAACTCAGGAGAACACCAGGTCCTCTCACACTGCTGCAACTCAGTTACCAACCCAACTTACTGTGCTTATGAATCAGACAAGATGAGAAACAAAGAAGCACAAAATAACCTCCCAACTGTCACTGTATCACCCATTTCCTCCCCCCCGGGATGCTCTGAGCACACTACAAACCACGGGAAACAAACTCATCCTGCCACTAACTCACCTGATAGATACAATAGCTGCTGCTTTTGTAGCTTGGGTAATATTCCTTCCAACTGTCTGGCTGGGGAAAGCTATTCCAGTGATGAAGTACAAGTGACAAGTGCTTTACACATGGTTTCTCTGCCTGCTTGGATGAGAAGGAACCACCTCACTGTCTAAGCTGGTTATTCAACTCAGCGACAGAGTCTCACTCTGCAGACTTGAATCCCACTTGGAACCATTCCCTGGGGAAGATGCTCCTCCCCACACACAGGCCAAGGCCTGGACACATGTTGCTGACAGATCAAGTGCTTCTTTTACCTGTCCTCCTGAGAGTTCTTCCCAGATCTCCTCTTATTTTTAGCCTCCCGTGGAGACGAGCGGATTTTCTTGGATGGGGGCCCTGAATCTCTTCCGTAATCTTCATCTGGACGGGACAGTACAAAATGGGTTTGAAACAAACTCCTACTTCCCAGCAAACTGCCTTCCTCAGCTCTAACTTAAATTGATCATTTCATGCACCTCAAAAAGAAGCCCTTAAAAAAAAACAAACCAAAACAAAAAACAAACCAAAAAAAAAAAAAAAAAAAAAAAAAAAAAAAAAAAAAAAAAAAAAAAAAAAAGAAGAATCGCAAAGCTTCAAAGAAAGTTTTATAGAGGCAAAGTCCTGTGTGCAGGTGGTGTTTTACCTTCTGCCAGCAGCAGGAGAAATGCTGTGTGCAACCAGGTCTGCTGTGGGGGGATTAGGGAACATCTGAGAACCCTCCCCAGAGGACATTAGCTCACTTTACAGCTAGTCAGTTGTTAGACAAAGCTATTCAAAATTAACATCTATCCCTATTTCCACAGCAAACGTTCCTTACTGGATGGGGAAAGTGTGTGCTTATACAGGAGTTTATAGCCCTGACAATATCCAGTGAGTAACAGGACTGCAATTAGGTGTGTTGATTGCATATTATCAGGCCAACCTGGCTTAGCCACCAAAACGGGCCTAGTTTCTAAGAACTCAAGTATGTTCCACTTGGCTTCCAGAAACATTTCATTAGCTTACACAGAACATGAAGATTCTCATTTTTTTTGCTGCAATTCCCCAAAATGCTTAACTAGAGTCCACTAAAAGAAATGGAAAACATGTTAAACTTCAGGAAAAAAGTGGAATTGGGGAAGACTCTGCCCCAGAACACAACACAGCCCAAGGTTTGCTGCCACAGCCTCAGGACACAGCAACAATACCAGCATTAGATAATAAGATTTCTAGCACCATTGTTTGTTTAACACAAACCAGATGAGAGTCATTATATTTTCAAATCCTTATTAACAGTTTGGGCTGTGAAGAGCAGAAACTCCCCAGAACTGGAGTTCAAGATGGGACTAAAAGCCAAACAATTAATATGCAGAGCACTAATGAAGTGCTCTAAGCCCAGGAATAGTAGAATGTTAAGAAAAAGTAGTTTACCAGCATCATCTGATTCCTGGAACTGGGAGTAATCCACCACCTTCCTGTTCCTGTTGAAAAGCAAGGGAAAAAAAAAAAGGAGTTCAGAATTTCAGAGGTACAAAACTTGCTGTAAGTAACAAGAAAAGGCCCAAAAACATCCCAAGAAAACTCTCAGGACTCAGTCACCAACACCTCTGCAGCCAGAAGGGAACACAGAGTGTATTCCAACATTTTCCTAAGGAGATTTATAACAGCCTGGATTATATCCTCCCAATCTGAAAAGGCTTTTTGCTAAGTATCTAAATACTATAATGAATTAGATAAACATTTGCTAACTGCTCTTTTTTTGCACTTCTGCTTCCCCCAGCTCCACAGAGCTCTCACATTTTCTCCTTGAATCCTTGTTTTCCAGGGTGACTCCTGGTCCTGAAGCACCTGAAGTTTTCACCAAGGTTTTTAGGAGGTTTCTCAGCAAGTTACACTGACTCTCTGCACTCCCTCAGTGGAAACCAGGCACACCTTGCACCCAGGCTGTGGTTCTGGACAGTGAGGAACACACACCTGGTGTCCTTCACCCTCTCAGCACCTTCTCTGCCCTCTGAGCACAGTGAGGGCAGCACAGCACTGAGGGATCACAGTGCAAATGTAATGGTCAATTCCAGACCACACCAGTTACCTACACGAGCAGCTGCTACTGAAACTGGTGTCTCACTGAGCAGCTGAGTTAGATTTGCTTCTCAGAGGAACCTAAAAAATGAGATGTAAGTAGCTGTTGGCTCTTCTATCAGTCCCTGTGCAAACTGCTTCAGTGGGAAGACACAAGTATCCTGTCAAACTCAAAGGAACCAAGAAAACCACATGACTAAATGAGTTCAGCTGCTGAGGCCTCAAACCCCAACTGCAAACACCTCCTGCAAAGGCTGAGGAGGCTCAGCTGGAAAAGGCCCCAGAGCATCACTCACCTCTCCCTCCAGTCACTTCTGCCATCCCTGAGACCCAAAGCCAATGATTCATTTGAGTTTGCAGAACTCACTCCCACAGAGAGGGAGAGACAGATGAAGTGACCTCTCCAGCACCTCAGAGCTGAGGAGCACCACAGACAGAGGCCAACAGCAGCTCCATCCACGGCCCCAGGGCCTTTTCCCTCTTTTCCTCCTTTGCAATTTCCCATTCAGCTCCATAGCTGAGCTTCACCCTGATTCCTGCACTGCTGCTGAGCCTTTGTTCAGACCCCCCAAAGTTACTGCTGTGGTGTTGGGGCTGTGGAACCACTTGAAACCAATGACAAGTTGCTCTCCTGTACAACCACCTCTAATTCATGGCTCTCAGCAGCCTTCAAAGGAAAAAAAAAAAAAAAAAAAGGTTTATTTCAACCCTACCCCAAGCCAAAACCCAAACCCAATCCCTAAAAAGAAAACCCAAACAGGCAAATAATAGGAAGGCAAGAATCACTTGATTTCTACAGGTGGAATCCCATCCAAGCTCCAGAGCACATGTGAGTGGAGCAAAGCACACAGCAGAGTGCACTCCCTGCTCACTCCCAGCACAGCAAAATACCAACTTAAGAACACAATCCTTGGCAAAGGTTGTTATGGTGTATCATCCAGGGATTTACAGTCCTATTCCCACAGGGAATCTTCCTGAAGATTCCCTCCTGAGCCAGCTCACTCATGAAAACACTGATTTATTCTTGTAAGCACCTGAAGGCCAATAAAGTTACTGACACCAAATCAAACATCTTGGTTAGTATCAGGTATTAAGGGTTTTCTCCTCTCAAAACACAAACAGGAGGGGAAAAGGCACAACTGCCACAGATTCTGTTCCAGCAGCTTTGTAAAATATCTCTTTTGGATATCCTTGATCTAACACTCAGGATGGAAATGGCAACTCTGCCACCCTGTAGGGTGTTGGCCATGCACAGTTTCATCTTCTTTCCTTCAGAGACACATTAAACCAGCACTGAAAATGTGGCACTAACAAACAACACTGTCCCTGTGGAAAACTCCTAACTCTGAGCACTGTCCTAAATCCTGCTCTTCTCTCCTTACCTGGTGAACACGAGTATTGGCACTAAAAGAGAAATAAATGACTGATTAAATCAAGAAAAATCTGTTACTGTGCAGGGCAAGGAGGGTGAAGGAGGAAAATCTACACAGATACCACTGCAAGTCTTCCCAACAGAACCAGAGAGGCTCAGAGGGGCAGAAACATCAGCCAACCTGCTCTGGCTGCTGCTCATCTCCTCACTCTGAGCAATTCAGGGTTTTATTTAGAACTGTCAGCAGCACTGATGGGCAATAATAACTGAGGCTGCAAAGTTTAGGACACCAGAGGGATAAACACACACCAAGGTGAGTTTACTAAGAGCCAGAAAAAGCTATTGCTGGTGTTGCCCATGAAGAGACTCTTTGCCAGTAGCAAAAATTGGATGTTAAGGCAAAAAAAAAAAAAAAAAAAGGCATAAACGTAAGCTCTTTGTTCAACCCAGTTAGACTGAGCATAAAGACAGGCTAGGGGATGTGTGGGATGGATGTTGGTCAAGCTGGTTTGAAAGAGGCACTGAAATGTAAAGGTAATTCATTTGCAGGTTCATTTCAAGGAATTGGGGGGAGAAAAGGCACAGAGAAAGGTCTAATAACAGAGGTCAGACCAATATTTCTGGGATAAACTGACTTGTTTAGTCACCAACATCTTCTGGTGGAAGAATCTCCTTAGCCAAGTTAGACTCCAGCAGTTCAAACAGAGTCCAGGAAAGCACAGCAGATTTTACAGCCTGTACTTGGTGCCTACTAAACTGCACCCTAACCCCACAAAAATCAGCACTAATGTGTAAAAGGATCACTCTGAAACTGAGTAAGGATTGTACAGTAGCGCATGTTCAGCCACTGAGGCCTCTAAATCCTCAGTGTTTGTAAGACAACACACCAGACCACACTGACCACCAGGCAGATTTTGGGGTGTTTTAAGAGGGATGCTCAGATGAAACAGAGTTTCCTGAGATTTTGTCTATTTTTGAAGCAACATAACCACCAACCCAAGCCTCAGCCCTTCCCTGCCCCTCAGGGCTGCAGCAGCTCTGGCTCAGTGCTCATTTCACTCTCTGCTTCTCCTTCAGCAGGTAAAGATGTCCCTCTGAGGTCAGTCCCAACAAATCTTGCACTTGGAGCACCTTTTGGTGGCTTTTCTACACTCAGGAAATAAAACTGACAGCCAGGATGTGTTTCTTGCAGGTATTTTCGAGCTGCACAAACAGACAGGGCTGGATTTGGGCCTTCCCTGAACACTCAGTCACCAGCAGAGGTTGACAATGGTAGCCCAGGGACAGTTTTGGCCCTAAAACACATCACTGTGGGGTTAGTGAGTGGGAAAATTGGCCCATCTGGACTCAGGACTCACCTAGGAGAGGTTCCCACTTAGAGAGGTCTGGCTGGGTCTGGCCCTGGTGTAACTCTCATGTCTGTCCCACTGAGCACTGCCCATGGCATCTGCAGAATTTTTAGGGCTACACATGACTTGCAGCTCCATGAAACAATTACATGATTTATGCAGCAACAATTGAAGCAGTTTGGGGCCTGTTCCCTGTTGGAATCTAACCTCTCATGGAGAAGATTTCACTATGGGAATGTCCTGATGTAAAGCAGAAGGGAAAACAAACTCAAACACCCCAAAAAACTGAGTCTTTCCCCCTCCCAAATCCCTGCCACAAGTTATATATAAACCCATTTTTTCCCTGGAACTAAGATTTCAAAGCAGCACCTTCCTACTCCCAAGGCAGGGCTGGGATTTAAATCCAGAAAAATTGAGTATATAAAGCCTTGAAGGACTGAGATCAATTCATAACTGGCTTTAATCTTCACAAGAACCACCAAAAATCCCCTGGGATTTCCATACCTGCCACAGCATCTCAGTTTGCAGGGGAGGAAAGTGAAAGAGTGAGGGAAAGAAGAAAACTCCATTGCAAGTCAAAATTCTGACTTATATCACACAAATGTCTCAAAGTCTTTAATGTCATTTATTACATCCCTAAAACATGAAATATTACAAGGATACAATAATCTACCACCAGCCCCAGCTGCTCTTTGCAGCACTTCAGGAGAATCCACACAACGTGCAGAGGGTCCAATCATTTCAGGTTCCTTTACTTTTTATTTCTTGCCTTTTTCTAACAGTTAAAATCTCATCATTATCCACCCAGGAGCAATTTAGCTGTGTAGAAAAGCACTTGGCTCTCAGTACATGAAGCCTCTAAATACCAGGACTTAATTACTTCTTGATGTTAAGAGACTGATTTCCACACCCAGCCTCAGTTTTCTACTGACAAGTGGAGCAAAAAAAAACTGTGGCTATATGTTGGATTTTTATGAAGTTCACTGGTTTCTATTCTCTGGAAACCAGCAGACATCATAAACTCATTCAAACAACACTGAGTAGAGGAAAACTTTCCCAACACTCAAGTCTCTGATGAGGAACCTTTCACCACATCACCAACAAGCGAAGACAGAAAAAACCACCACAATGTAGAATTAATAATCCTGAAAGTTTAGGATTTAAATCCTTTAGGAGACGTCTCCAGTTACCACCAAGCAGAGCAGTAAAATGCAGCAGCTAGTGAGGATTTACCTGGTTTTCCTGGCAGAGCTGTTAAACACAAGTGGATAGAGAAGTGTGAGTTCCACTTCTGCCTCCTGCCAACAGCTTTTCTGCACCTAACAACCTGCTGGACTTTGCTGCTTCATTTTCCTGGGGAGCTGTGAGGCAAGTCAGACCTTCCCCAACACTCCAGGACTGCAGAGAGGTTTATTTGCAGGACTTTTCAGAACGGTTCCTTGCAGAGTCGTGCTTTACAGACCGGCCCCTTTCCCCCCTGGAGGAGGTGCCAGTGATGACAAGTGATGAGCAGCAGAGTCACATCTCCACCAAATGTGGGCCACAGGGGCAGAGCTCTGCTCCAGCAGCTCCCTGCAAAAGGCCAAAGCTGATGCTTCAGCTCAGGGTACACCTTTTGGATCCAAAACATTCCCCAGCTCTGAGCTTTATCTGCCCTCCCCTTTCCATGCAGGAATACACT